GCGCGTGGGCCGCGGGCGCGCTCGCGCTCGCGCGGCGCGCGCTGAGGGGGCGCAGCTTCACGGGGACCGCGTGGACGGCCGCATTCCTGTGGTCGTTCCTCCTGATTTCGGAGCTGCGCCTGTTTCCCCAGGTGCCCCTCTGCATGCTGTCCTATGCGTCGCTGTTCCTCGTACCTTGGCTGTACGCGCAGTTCAAGGGGCCGATGGACTTCGTGGTTTACGAGGCAGTGCACTTCGCCGCGGCCCTCGTCGCCGGCGGCGGGCGCGCGGCGCTGGCGCTGGCGGGGGGCGCGGGGGTCGCGGGCTACCTGGCCGCGGAGGCGGCCGGCGGCAGCGTCGTGGTGAGGGTCACGGGCGGCGCCGCCGCGGCATTTGGCGCGCTCGTCTGGCGCGCTGCCGCGGCGGCCTGATGACGGGTGGACTCACGGCGTGCGCGTGCACTTTGCCACATGCCGGCCGGGCCATGGCGTCCGAGGTTCTTATTGGCGGCCGAGCTGGCGTCGCAGCTTTTGCTGTGGTATGATCGCCGACGGCCACCACCCTTGACACACGCACGCCGGGTGCACCATCACGCTCGCCTGACACAAGGGCTGTGATCGGCGGACCTGCGGCACACTTCTTTTGAGGAAAAAATCACGCTGCGGCTTTGATTATGAGCTGAAACCTGCACTAAAAAGCACCGCGCCCTTCAGCTGCTGTTCTCTCTGACTGAGGCCCTGGGCTCCTCTTACACCGTGCCCGCCGTTGTCCGCGCCAGTGCTGCGTGCACAACGCGGCGCGGGCGCGTTCCATCTCATGCAGTGCGCGTGCATGCACATTGATTGTATTGCAATGCCCTGTGCACATGCCAATTTGATTGATGCACCTGATTTGACGACGTCCTCTGTCAGATGTGACCATGAGTCTCCCAAGCCGTGATCTCGCCAGGGCCTCTATTGTGTACGTTGACTTTGCCGCCCTGCGTCACTTTGTGGCTATTTATGGCGCACGCAGTCGTCAGCGCCGCCGCCACACCTGTTCCCCCCCCTTACCCTCCGCAGCATTCGCGCACGCCTCGTTGCGGGCGCCGAAACACCGCCGCACTCGTCTGGACTGGTTTGTGGCGCACAAGTGGGCCTCCTGTTTGCCTCACCCCAACATCTCCATTGTTTTGCCATGACTTGTGGCACCCTTTACCGTTTGTCTGGCGGCAGATGTCTCAGCAACGCGTGGCGTCAGGCAGATGGCATGCAATGCACAGGGCATGCCCTGTGCACTGCATGCTGCGAGCTTAATTTGCACCCGTTTGCCACCACGCAGAATTGCTGTTGCGTCTGGTCCCGTCGCTCCCAACCTTCACGAGCGGGGCAGCCTCCGTTTACATTCCCCCCGGTCTGGCTTCCATAATCTGCCTAACTGATCTGTTCTGTGTAAGGAGGACAACTGCTAATACTCGCTGACCGCCACAGGTTATTGATCGCTGTATGTTGCCAAGTGTGCTGAGCGCCGATTCTCCCAGGCGACTACCTGCTTGTGGCGGGCTGCACCCAGCTTGCTGGCCCTGATGTGTCAGCATTGTGTGCTGACACATCCAGCCAGCTGCATGTAGCACGGAGCGAAGCGGCTGGGCAAGCCGTTTGTGGCCGGATACAACAGGTCTGGCACCGCGAGCACAGCGGTGTTAGGTCAAGCCTGCATCTGATATTGCATCCTGGCAAACAAACCTGGCCACAAACGTGCACGCGGGAATTGTCACGGCCATCGAACAGCTACAGTCAAACAAACCGATTTGAGGCAGCCACCGAGCCACACCACTCCAATCCAGGACGCGAGACCCAACCAGATTGCATGATCGGGCCAGATCGCACCAGATCCCACCAGATCACGCCTCCTCCACCAGCTCCTGGTCCTCCAGCTCTGGCAAGGGGAAGCGCAGCACCGCGGCTATCCCACTTAGCTGGTTGAGCTGCTCGCCTGGCGGGCGGGAAGGGGTGGGCGAAGGGTGGCGGGTACGGATTGGAGCAGTGAGGTTGTTCGGCTGGTCGGGATCACGGCGAGAGCTGTGAGGCGGCAGGAGGGCACGCGGTTTGCGTGGCAACTCGGCTCGCCGAAGGGCCTCTCCTGGGGTACCGCTGGGAGGTGCCTGCGCTGCTGAGCCACGCGTGATGGATCTTTTGGCTCTCAACAGCACTCTCGCGAAGTGCACTAAAAGCACTCCTGGCGCGCCGCAGGCGGGCCGGCAGCCCCACCTGACACGTGCATGGATGAGAACACCAGGGCCTCCCCTCCCGCCGCCTGCACCCCCTCCACCAGCGCGGCGTACTTCTTCCGCTTGGCCACGTCGTTCACGCGAAACAGCTTGTCTGGCGGTGGCGGTGTCGTGGCGAATTGAGGGCGATGGGACGCGACAGGAGGCGGCCCACGGGTTTGAGGCATGGGATGCGGCCGCATTCGCAAGCTGTCGAGGCTCGAATTGTGGGCGTGGGCGACACGGCGCTTGCCCATCGATGATGCACATGACCGCCAACCCATCAAAGGCAGCGAACGCCACAAAAGCGCCGGATACGGTAGCACCCTCATGAACAATCTCGGCCGCAAACGCAGGCGGATCGCACCCCCACGCACCCGATATGAGGAGCGTCTGGATGGCCCCCAGCTCCGCCGCTGCCAGCACGTGGCCCGGACCGTAGAACGCCCTCGCAGGGTCGTTTGACAGCATGTCGTAAAACTCCTTCAGGGCTGTCACCTGGTAGGAGCCAATAGGTGGGAGGACAAACGGGCTTTTCAGGCGCGGTTTCACGACATGGCTGTGATGCTGGTCAAAGTAAGCTTGTGCCGGGATGAGAACCGCTTACGTGCCCCAGTGTGTTGCAGCAAGCTGTGAAGGTCCCGGCTGTTCCAGGCACCGCGCTCCCCACCCAAACGCCCGCTCGCGTCTTGCAGTCACCCACCTCGCGCGCCGCCTTGGTGTCCTTGATCTGTGAGGCGATGGCCGGCAGTGACAGCACCTCCTTCAGGGAGTGCTTGTAGGCTGAGGACGCCTTGGGGCAGGGGGCGATTGCGGGCGGTTGGAAGGCGGTCGGAAGGCGGTTGGCAGGCGGCCGGGAGGCGGTTGGGAGGCAGTTGGGAGGCGGTTGGGAGGCAGTTGGGAGGCGGTTGGGAGGCAGTTGGGAGGCGGTTGGGAGGCAGTTGGGAGGCGGTTGGGAGGCAGTTGGGGGTTGGTGATAGTACGGAGGTGGGGCGATTGAGAGGTGGTCGGGAATCTGTGGGGACACGGATCACAGGTGCCATGGGGCCGGGTGAAGGGCGGCGATCAAACTGCGCGCTGAGGGAGCAGCCGGCTGCAACGACACATTCGCCTAGAAACCACGGTCAGGGGCGCAGCGGCGAGCAGCCGACAGAACGCTTTTCCAACACGCTTGCGGCCCGCGCGCTCCCGTGACACCCCGGGGCCCAAACCACGACCCACGGCCCCCGCCTCCCCTCCCCCGTCACCTGTGCGACCACTATGCGCGCCCTGTTCTCTATGAGGGGCCGCACCTCCCTCTTCACAGCCTCCGCATCAAGGTACGACCTTTGAGGGCCGCAGTGGTGGTAGTGGAATGGTGCGTTGTGTGTGGTTGTTGATGCGGGTCGAGGGGCGGGTGCGAGCGGGTTTGGTCAAGTGTACTAAGTCGCCGGGGCGGGCCTGTGGGCAGAGCCTGCGGCGCTTGGCACGGACTCAGTTTCGTGCGCCGCACGGCCGCGACGCTTGCGATATGCCGCTCAGCTCCACGCGCTGCCCCCTTGTTTCCGCCCTGTCCTCATCCTCGGCGCCCTGCTGTAAGCCACCAACCCACCCCCCCTTCCAGGCAGCCCATTCCCCCTGAATGCCCACGGGAGCCCCTCCCCCCAACAGCCCCGGCCCACTTGAAGCTGTCTTTGGCGAACCC